AAATATAATATTTTAAGATATTTTTTTCATATAATTAGTGTCGAATAAAATAGGGAATACATCGATAGGCTATTAAAGTTGTCTTCACTTTTTATTTAGACACTCCAGCTTAAGTCTGTTCCACTTGAACACTTCAAGCAGATCTTTATTGTGTCATTTAGACACAATATGCTGACATGGCAAGGTAAGTGTTTCTCATATTTTTCAAGCGCGTGAAATCATAAAAAAAAAAAAAAAAAAAAAAAAAAAAAAAAAAAAAAACAATCTCCACATTCTTCATGTCGGAAAATGTATAGCTTATGTCAGAAAATTTTCCGGTCATCTTCTTAACCCAAATTATTTTTAGATTTGTTCATACCATCACTACTATCCTCCTTTAGATCTGCGCACAGCCCCACTACCACCTTTAAATCTGGCCACTTTTCATTTTCCTTCTCATTTTTAAGATCTGATTGACGCTGCAATTCTGGCCGGAAAAGTAGCAGCGCCGCTAGCTGCCTGCCACTTTTTTTCTATTTATCTTCCACCATGTGAGCAACCATAGGATGGCACGAATAAGATTAGTGGCAAGATCCCTCTCATTTCCACTCGTCCGGCGAAACTTAATTTTTCCCGACGAAGTTTCACTTTTTGCTAAATAATTAAATTTTGTGACTTGAATCTTAATCTTAACCAGATGCGGGCATATCTGTAACAAGTTTTGGCGAACCTTATGTGTCAGTGTCGTCTTCTCCTTGTTTTTTCTTTTCATTTTTGTCTATAGATTATAGATCTAAAAACATATGGTGAAACTCCACCATTATTTAATCCGGTCGAAATTTTATTTTTCGACGACTTTGTGGTTTAGTCAAATTTTGGTGTTTCCAGCAACCTTCATGCTTCTGTTCATTGGTTGTTATGATTAAGCCCCATTTTTTGTTCATTTACGTTGGATCTAATTTCACCATTCTCAACTATTGTTATTCTGTTATATTTTGTTCCCTTCGTTTGCTGCTCTTATTTGTTTGCTGATGATTTTATTGGTAATGTATTCCTTCAGTTCTATTCGTTTGTTGCTGCGTTTTTGAAAAGAAATGGACGAAAATTAATTTTTCTGGTGAGGGGTCGTTGGGAAGATGACGATGAATGGGCTTAAGGTAAATCCACGTGTCCTCAACATATTTGTCACTTTGGTGTGTGAATTACACGCACCTTTTTGTATTTGGGTGTCTCTGAATTTTGTGTCCAAATGACACATTTAAGCTGTAATCGGAGTATTCAAATAGAACGGTCTTAAAGATGGAGTGTCTAAGTGAAAAGTGAAAATAACTTTAAGGGGCTGTCGATGTATTCTGCCAATAAAATATGTCTAACCAAGCACTCCAAACTTGTGATGCTACAGTTTAAATTGTAAATGGTGAAGAGACTAATTTATAATTTCTTAATTTTTATAAAAGAAAATTCATTCCTTTATTAATAAATATATTATCGTGATTCTGCTATGAACTACAACAATGGATAAATTACCTATTACAACTGTTCAAATAACTTCATACGAAGAATTTCTTGTCTCTTGAGATAAATACTATAGAAAAATTCAGACGGCACCAACCGTGTCCTATCATCTCTTGAAGCATATCGAGTTGCATCTGAAGTTCTTGTGCAAGGAGCAAGTCCTCTTGTTCCTTGGACCTTGGTGCTCTCTTATTTACCTTCGACGACTGTGACACAAGTTGAGGAAAACAAATATAAGTCCCGTGATAGAAAAATTGAAAAAACCTAAAAATTGAACACCAACCAAACATGAAGCTTCAAACCATCTATGGGCTTCTTAATCGGAGCTTCCACATGACAGTTCACTTCCTCTCCTCAAAAAATTTCTTATCTATTGTAAAGGCATTGATGGAGCATATCAAATGAGAAACCAACAAATTCTCATCTCAACGTATGTTAAAAAAAAATATTAATCAGGAAAGTAGATAATTATACCTGAATAGAGGCTTCACCACCAGAATTCTCATTCATCACAATAAAAGATTAAATAGGAGGAGGTTGAAAGGAAGACTATTATTTCATTACTTTTTTATTATGGAGGAAGGTTGTAACAGTTCAGAAAATAAAGAAGGTTGTAATTTGCTTCCTTTGCTAAGTCAAAAAACGGATATCTTTCAGTTTTGAAATTGATGTTTTCTTTCTTCCCTTATTTATTATGGAGCTATAATTAAATTTTTAATATTTTTTAATAAAATGAGTTCTTATAATTACAACAATATATCTTATTACCAAATAAATAAAAAGTAGTAAAAAAAGGCAAAAAAAGATATATAGAATCCTTGGCCAATGAGAGGTGCCAAGTCACCTTTTCTATTCCCTCATATATATATATATATATATATATATATATATATATATATATATATATATATATATATATATGCATCTTTATAGTACAGGGTAAAATTGATTAGCGATAGTTGGATGAATGACAAGATGACACGTGGAATTGAAGACAGGTAAGATGTGAGTCAGCAAGTAGTTGGCACCGAATACAAGCATGTGATCGGTGAAGAATAAATTCCAATGGCACGAGGACCGATAACAAAGATTTGAAGAGATGACATCGGATAACATTCAATGAGCAACTATTACAAAGAATCTCTATATTAATAGCCAACAGTTATGAAGCCATTAATGGCGGTTTTATTCTCATTCGGAAGGAGATTGATTTGAAGTAGTCTCCCCAAATAGAGCTATAAATAGGAGAATTATTATCCATTGTGAGGGACGAAACATTCTGTATACAAAAGCTAAAATCAACACTCATTCTATAAAATTGCTCTTTTACTTTTCTCTCAATATTATTCTTGTTTCTGCTACCAGAGAAGCTATTCATAATTAGGATTGTATTTCTTTTAAATTCAATTTATATTCTTGACTTGTTTCTTATTTATTTCATATTTTTGGATCAAGCTAATGCATGTGAATATAAACCACATTACAAATTTAATTGTACCGTTTTACGGGTATACAGTTTGGCGCCCACCGTGGGGCATAGACAATTGTGTAATTTCTTTGATCCATTTATCTGTTACTAACAATTAGAAAAAGAAAGATCAGATATGGCAGCTAACAATATCAACAATTCCTATAATGTTGGAGCGCACATCGAACGTGAGGATGTGTTCCAGTGTGTGATGATTCAATTAGCGAAGGGCAAAAGACTCAACATGTGGGGAATCCAACTCCTGATGAAGTGGATGACGAACACGTTGTTGAAACGGTCAAGATCTTGAGAGGGCAACAAAGGTCAATTATGGATCACCTCTCAAGACAAGATCAGGTGATGATGGAATTGAAGCAGGCACTATCGGTTGCTTCCAATAATTATAATTGTGGAGCTCGGATTCTTCCCACCGTCCCTGCAAATCAAACATTACAAAAAATCGATAATGACGCTCCAAGGCAGGAGTTCAGTTTTAACAAGGCAGGAGGTATCGGTAGTGTATCTGGGAATGACAACAACGCAAATGACCCTTTCAAAACCAAGCATATGAGATTCGTGAGGGAAATCAATGAACATATGGACTAGAAAGCTAAAGAAATCCATGCTCGTATGGATAAGATCCCAGGAGCGCCACCAGCGCTAAAGGGATCAGATTCCAAGAAATATACGCAGTTGCCGTTCAAACCAAGTGCGACCTAGAGTTGATTCCAAAAAAGTTTAAGATGTCGGATATTCCGAAGTATAATGAGACTTCGGATCCATAGGAACATATCACGACCTATACTACGGCTGTAAGGGAAATGACTTGGCCCAGCACGAGATCGAATTCGTCTTGTTAAAAAAATATGGCAAAACCATGACGAAGGGTGCCTTAACTTGGGGCGGATAGGTGAGGAAATAAAGGTTTTCAGTCATCGAATATGTTTGCTTCCGATAGAAAAATGGAATGTGGTCTTAGTAGTAGAACTTTGCTAGAGAAAGAAGCATCAGGGGCCCGAGATTCAATGTATCCTCGATTATCCGACTAAACCTTAACATCAGCTTGGTAGAACTAGTGTCGGTTATGATGAACATAAAGGAGGCTAGGTTCCGTAAACCAATTCGATCATATCCGAGCCAAAGGGATCCTAATCTATGATGTGAGTTCCATGGAATTCACAGTCACAAGATTGGGGACTGGCAACACCTTCATAAAGAGGTGGCAACATTGTTGAAGAATGATCACTTCAAAGAGTTTTTAAGTGATCAGGCCAAGAAAAACTATGGGAAAAATTGAAATGTTGCAGAACCATCAAAACCGACTGCGGGGTCACCTCGCATAATGATAAACATGATCTTTGGTGGAGGCGAAGTAAATGGGGTGACATTTTCAGCATCAATGAAAATGAAGATATCGGTAACTCATGGAAAGAGGATCCGAGAAGATCTAGAAGACGACATCACTTTCACAGAAGAGGATGCTGATGGGCTTCTTCTGTCACAACCCCGACCGGTCATTTTGAGTCCTAGCGCTCCGTTCAGCAGTCAGAGGCCATGAACAGCTTCATTTCGTGTATCATGACATGTACACGTGGTCGGAATTGAATTTCGGGAAGTTCAGGGTTGATTTGGAAAGAGGATTCTCATTTCGGAAGCTTAAAGTTGAAAGAATGAACTAGGATGGGAATCTTGAGTAAACGACCTCGAAATCAGGATCTGAAGGTTCCAGCAGGTTCGTATGATGATTTCGGACTTAGGCGTATGCCCGGTTCGGGTTTTGGATAACCCGGGAGCGTTTTGGCGCCTATTGTGGAAGTTAGCATTTTGGAAGAAATTTCATAAGTTTGGGTGGAAGTTCATTTCAGTGATATCGATGCCCGTTTGGGATTCCGAGTCTGGTAATAGCTCCGTATGGTGATTCTGGAGTTGGGAGCGCGATCGGAAGTGATTCGGAGGTCCGTAGGTCATTTTGGAGCCATTTGGCTAAAGATAGAAATTTGAAGGTTTTTGAGAAGTTTGAACGGAAGTTGACTTTTTGATATCAAGGTCGGAATCCGATTTTGAAAGTTGGAGTAGGTCCGTAATTTCAAATAAGACTTGTGTGCAAAATTTGAGGTCATTCGGACGTGATTTGATAGGTTTAAGCATCAGGAATAGACGTTGGAAATTCTAAAGTTCATAAAGCTTGGATTGGAGGTCGATTCGTGGTTTTAGCGTTGTTTGATGTGATTTGAGGCCTCGAGCAAGTCCGTAACGTGTTTTGGGATTGGTTGGTAGGTTAGTTTGAGGTCTCGGGGGCCTCGGGTGGATTCCGGGTGGCTAACGGATCGAATTTGGAGTTGAAGAAAAGTTGAGGCAGCTGATATCTGGTATTTCCGCACCTGCGAAGATATGGCCGCAGGTGCGGAGCCGCAGAAGCGGCCAGGAAGACCGCAGATGCGGATTTTGGTAAGGGGAGCTGGGACCGCAGATGCGGGACCACACCTGAGGAAAAGGAAGCACAGAAGCGGAAGCTGGGCGGCTTGGGAAGGAGCCGCAGAAGCGGCATTTTAACCGCATAAGCGGAAATAATTCCACAGAAGCGGAAATGACTGGAGCAGTGAGGTCTTTAAAATTTGGGGTTGAGTTCATTTCAACCCCATTTTTCTTCCATTAGAGTCGATGGGGAGCAACTTTGAGACGCCATTTTCGTCACTTGTTAGGAGGTAAGTAATTTGTGCTAGCTTTGAGTTAAATACAAGGTTTATACATGGATTTGGGCATGAAAATTGTAGAAAAACTTGGGGTTTGAGGGAAGACCTAGAAAATTAGTGTTCTTAAATTTTGATCACGATTTTGAGCATGGAAGTAAGAAAAAATCATATATTTGAGTTCGTGAGTTCATGGGTAATCTTTATCTTCGAAAAATTTTGGATTCCGGGCACGTGGGCCCGAGGGCATTTTTGTCAACTTTTCGATCGGGGTTAGGAATTGTTATAAATTGGATTATAATGAGTACCTTAGCATATATTAATGGATTTACATAATTATTGGTTAGTTTTGGAGCGTTGTGCATAGATTCGAGTCTTCGGAAGGGCGTGGAATGCCGGTTATGGACCTTCGGAGCGAGGTGAGTCTCCTTTCTAACCTTGTTAGAGGGAATTGTCCCCATAGGTGAATATAATTGATTAAGTGCTCCTACTTGCAGGGGCTACGTACGCACGAGGTGACGAGAGTCTGTGCGTAGCTACTATTATGCTATTACTCGGATAGTTAGGACCCAAAAGCATGTTATACTTGGATTGTTTATGAACCCATTGATCGCTTGAATTGCTTAAATCACATTGAATTAGTAAGTGAATTTCTAAAAGGATTAAACTTTATTTCTTAAAATTTGTTAAGGGAGAATTGGTTTTATTTGGATAAATATTCCCCGATAAGTTCTTAATTGACTTATTGAGCATGTATCCCTATGTGTACCTGCGTCGCATGTATGATTCGCGAGTAGGGTATGTGTTTATTTATGGAACGGGACGAACGCCTCGGCAGATTAAATAGATGCATCTATGGTTCGTGCCATTCGACCCTCGGCAGTGCACAGTTTACATTTCTGTTGGAGCGAGCCGTCGACCTCGGCATGATTTGCGCATGACATATACATTGTTTCCCGAGAATTTTAAATGTCGATATTGCCTTTCATGGCTTGATATAAATTGATAAGATAATGAAAAGTAAACCTTGAAAAATCCTTTGTTATTTGTTAAAGGTGTTTACCTGTCTTCTCGCTTTGTGAATTAGAACTGCTACATAATTCATGATTTCCTCACATTTTTAGTATATTGTCAATTGACCTCTAGTAAGTGTCGAAGTTGACCATCTCGTCTCTACTTCTTCGAGATTAGGCGGGACACTCATTGAGTGCATGTTGTTTACGTACTCATACTACACTTCTGTGCATTTTTGTTGCACAGGTATATGTAGCTCTTGTGGCCTACTGGGCGTAGCAGCGCGGATGACTCTGGGACTAGGTGAGCTGCATTGTTCAAGGCGACCCGTAGCTAGTGTAGTTCCTTTCAGAAATTTTTATATTTATTCCATGTCCACTGTATTTCGGACA